TTCAGGCACTTTTTTTTAGTGATGCTTTTTATTCATACAAATAGAGTCATACTATCACTAAGTAGTATTCTCCCCCACTCCCTCGCGGAGGTTTGCAAATGTGTGCAGAGAAGCTTACCTCTTACTTCCTCTTTACTGCTGAAACATACAATGAAACTGTATAGCAGGCAGCTGAATCTCCAGTTGTGAAGGAATGGAAAAACCATCATCATCCATTTGCATTCGTAGGTATACATTTTTTTTTCTTAAAATGGTAGTAAACAAAGCAAGTGGTCCAAAAAATGGTAGTGATTAGACTGGGAAGAGGATCCAAAAAAATATCCAACCGCAAGGACAAAGATATGAGGGGGCTGCTGAAGCTGCCACACCTGCTGACTGTCAGGAGCAATGCGGGTTGTACAGTGAGCAGGCAGCCCACTGTGGCTCATTCACAGGGTGCATTAGTGTGATATACAAACCTGTCCATGGGCCCACGTTGCATCATGGTGGAGTGCTTGACAAGCCTCAGTGGGTTGTTAACTCTGCTGCATGTGCCAGCCATATGCTGGCTGGATTTCTCCAGTTTCCCTCAGCAGCACGGCTTGCTGTGTCATCTGAACCATGACACATGTCCTCCTTGAAGAGGTAGCAACCCGTAAATAGCATGTGAGCTGCTGTTGGGTTATTTAAGGGTTGCTGCCCCACCCTCAAAGCCATGTCACCAGGATTCAGATGCTGAGACAAGCTGCAAAAGTGAGGGGAGTGGAGGAAATCTGACTGGCACGTGTGGTGGGGGCAATAAGCCATTATGACTTCGGTCCCTCACCACAGAACCAGCTCTGAGGGTAGCTCTTTAGGAGAGCTGAAAGTGATAAGATAAAGGCATTGTTGACCTACTGATTACTTTGGCAGCATTCAAATGCCACAATAAGCCACCCTGGGAATAAGCTTCACAGACCACAGTATGTCAAACCAGTGAGTTGGCTTATGATGATTAATTCTCCCCCTGCTTCTTGCTTTTTTTTTTTTTTTTTTTAGAGGAGGAGCAGGAGGAATAGGCACACCAAAATGGGGCCAGGGGCCAGTATTTCCTACTTGACAAGGCAATTTTCTCAGTTTTAACTGTTGTATTTGTCACTGTTCCGCTTCCCTTGCACACTGCCCTCACTCTCCAGCAAGTCCAAGCAAAGAGAAATATTGGCTACTGCCTTTTTTGTAGCTCTCTTTTACAGCAGTCACTGCTTCAGTTGCTTCATTCCCCCCACCCCACCTCTGCCAACAGATTGCCAGAAATATTTGTGTAAATTTAAAGGCAGGAAAGTAAATGCTAGGGAAATCAGCACACGTTTAGAAGTTTGGCAGTGAAAGGAGATTTTGCACAACTTAAGTAACTGCTCTGAAAGAAATCTGTACCTTCCTTTTTTCCAGTTTGCAAATTAGCACTTTTATTCAGGAAGCAGTTAGGGAAGTAGACATGGCTAGGTATTTTGCCACATTTAAGCTTGATCCCCAAAAGTATTACTGGATGTCACTGAGCTTGATAATTATTCTCTCTACCTGTACCTCTACCTGTACTCTATCTATCTATATGAATGATAATACAACACGCTATTCTAATTTTAAAAAGTGAGAAAGAGAATTAAGCATAACAGTCCCAATGAAACACTAAAATCACATGCATTCAGAAATTATAGGAATGAACAAAATATGACATCTGGAGGAAATGTTTATAAAATTGTGTGTGTTTGTGTCATACACACACATGTATGCATACCCTATATAAACAATATCCACCTGCCAGAATATCTAGAATGTTTCCAGCTACAAGAGTTATCAGCTGGAAGTGGAATTTTAAGGGAACTTTCCCCATTTTTGGTTGTATGGTAATCTTGCTAAAGAATATTGAAGAAAATGTATAACCAAAGTGACTAGATAATGTGTTTGTTCAGAGAACTGTAATATTTTTTTCTGAGCTTTAGTGGTGCTTTTTATACACAGTATTAGTTGACAGAAAGATAGAAAATTGTGGTTTCTTTGAAAATTTGCAAGTTATGAATGTATTGGTTATATTTGTATAAGATCCCCTGGCAGTTTTATCTTTTGCCACATTTTCTTTCTTTTCTGTACTTTATTTCTTTTAAGAAAACATTTTTAAAAATAGTGTCAAGTATCCCATTAGTAAAAGTTTGGCAAACACCATTTATATTGTTGCTGGTACAGTGGAAAGATGCATTTGGGACCACACTGGTGATAGATAAAATAGCAACTTTTACGTTGTTATGGCAGGTAGGAATGAACTCCATACAGGTTGTTGCATAAGGTTGTATACCATTTACTGAAATAGGATCCAGCCAGCTGATTTAGCAGCTTCAGATACATACTATAGGGGTGTTAAGCTGATGTACTGTAACTACTTTTAATGACTGCATTGGGAAGCAAAATTTTAAAAAACTAAGTTGAAAATGCTTTACTATCATGTGAAAGATTTTTGTAATTTTGATGGCTTTCTCATCATATATCTGGTTCTTCAATAAGTTTGAAAGCAGGCTTTATCTACAGACAGGAAGACGGTGAATTGGCAAATGTCCAACTTCATTTGATACCCATAAAGTGACTATAATTAACTTACAAGTGGCAAGTGTCAAAAAAGATTGTCTGGTCTAAATTATCATTCTACAGTGCTACTGTTTGGGCTGTCAATGGCTACAAGTCATGATAGCTGTGTGTGCCTTCCAGCAGTGGACCCAATATACTTCCAAATGCCAGTTGCTGGGAAATAATTATGGGAGGGGTTGTTTGCTCTCAATAGCTATCTGGTCAGAATTGAAAGGGGGACTAAATGTGCCTCTGGTCTAATCCAGCATCGCTTTTCTTAAATTTTGAATTCCCAAACTGGCATATCACCATGATCAAACACTTTGGAGGCCCAAACTGAAGGCCAATTTACATATTAAGAAAAATGCATGGTATAATTCTTTTGGGACTACCATTTTTGAATAGAGATACAGATCACGTTATTAATCTTCCTTATAAAAGAAAGGAAAACAAGTAGCTATTGGAAACTTAATATGTCTGGGGGAAAGAGGGTAGATTATCCTAGTGATTTTCCTGATATGCTAGCTTTCCATGTGCATAAAGCTTGTTTGTTTTTGTTTTTATATAAAGAAGCATGCCTGACTGTATTATTCAGTGGTACAATCCCTGATGTGCTCCTCTAAACATGTTGGTTGGCTTTGGATCTAGGAAACAGAGGGAGGTGTGCATCCCTGATGTCTTAGAGCTGCTCTGAAACAGGCCATAGTTGATATTTATGCATGAGAAAAGGTACACACAGAAGGCAGGTGCTGTGGACTTGGTCATGCTTCCTTCTTTTCTTTTTTGAAGCTAAATTTTCCAAGTAACTCAAGTTATGAGATGATAACTGTCTGATAATAGATTATGAATTAACCCCCTTGAATTATGGAAGTATGGAAGAAGGAAGGAAGGGAGGAAATGATGAAGGAAGTTGAGGCGATCAATTGCTACTGGTCACTATGGCTTTATATTGCTTCCTGTAATGTGTGACATGATGCTATTGCCTTCATGTTCTGCTTGTAGCCTTTCCTAGTTGACCACTGTGGCAAACAGAATGTTTGCTGGATTAGATTTTGGTTTGGTCTAGCAGGACCCTTCTTATGTTCTTACTGATCTTGCAGTGTGGACTGGGCAGGAAGCTGCACCTTAACTGATTTCAGAATAACTGCCATCACTCTTTTAATTTCAACCTGGGTCTGGGTGGGGAAGGGTCCTATGACAGAAATGCCTCTTTGCAATCTCTCCAGGTCATCCTCAGAAGATCCCAGTCAGTTATTTCCTTATGACCTCCCCTTTAGTTATAAAGTTTGTCTAAATGACAAGCAATCTGGCACATGGGGGAACAATCCTTAAGCAGTCACACACCCCAGGTTACAATGAAAGATGGGGGCAGGAGAGAAACACCAGGTAGTGTTGGGGAAAAAACTAATTTCCATGCCACCTACACCCAATATGTCCAAAACAGTTTTAGAAATTATTTTGAGAGTAGCAGCAGCTCACTTGCATGGAGCAAAGATCCTTTGTTGTTTGTCTAATGAAAAAAACATCTTCAGAGAAGACCCAGTGCTATTTTATCTCGAACCCTGTTGGTCTGGCTAGGTCTGGCAGAAGAAAAACTGTGAGCACATTTTTAACCCAGGGAAGTGAAATAGGGAATGGTCACTGATGGGACAGAATCTGAGCATTTGGAGGTAGCTTTAGGATATGATGGGGGAACCGTGGACGGGAGACGTTCCTCACTGGGCCAAGCAGAGTGATTCCTACACAGACAGTCACTGTATGATCGGCACCATGGTCAATTATTTCAAGTGCCTTCAATTTCTAGCACAGATATAGTGATACTGCCATCCCAAACCTGTGCCCCCCTCAGGAGCTTTTTGAACCACAACTCCTGGCATTCCTAACCACTGGCCATGCTAGTTGGGACTGATGGGAGTTGAAGTCCAAGATATCTTGGGCTTGAGGGAAGGTTGTAGTAACTGAAGAAAGGCTTGGGGGAGACTTGTAGTAATGGTAATGGTCACGATAACATTGCTGTGGATCCCATGGCTGTCTGCTCATTTGAGGAACTCCTAGGCAAAGTGCCCTGTGGTGGACACTCTTGATGGGTCTGATCTGGTGGTGACTGAGTACAGTCACCATTTGGCACTTGCAGAATGCTCCCAATACAATATTCTTCCAAGATGTTATAGGAGACTTAAATAGAGGCTATACCCATCAACATAACTCTGTCTGGGGTGCTGGCCTGAAGGAAAAAAGGGGGGATCTGAGGCAGGTGTTTGCATTGTACTTTGCTTCCTTGCATTGTACTGGGGTGCTTCCTTTAGAAAGTCAGTGGAAGATAAGATGCCTTCTCTGCAAGACCTTAGACAAAAGGCCTTCATACTGCATGGCTGTGCCTTTTGTTTCTGGCAAAGCCATCTGTTAATCTATACTATTCCTTGCAGTACTGAGGGGAGGACCACTTCCGGGGGTTTACAGGCTGCGCCAGCTACTCATCCACTGGGGTTCAACAGACGATAAAGGCTCAGAGCATGTTGTGGATGCCACAAGGTATGCAGGAGAGGTGAGTATATTTATATGCTAGATAAGGTAACATCGCTACCCCAATAGGGAACTAGGCACAGATGGTCTATTTAAGCTATTTCATGCCCTCCCCCTTCCCCATTTGCCAGTTCTGCAACCATGGTAAGGAAGTTAATGGTGTCATATTCTAGGACTCTTGACAAACAAGTTCTTAATGATAACCTCCTTATATGGGATGACAGATCTGCTACATGGGAACAAAGCTTCACTGGTGTCTTTGCATCACTTCCTCAGTGTAAAAGGGAGATCTAATTCAACAGACAGAAACAGTGGGCCTTGCATCCTTGCTATTGCTTTTGTTGGACTCCAAATGCCCTCACCCAGGGAGCCTGGACTATGGTCAGGGACTCCAGGAGTTGTTGTTTGGATGACCACACTTCTTTAAGCACTAGGCTGGCTATTACATTGTCTTTGGGGCAATATATATTTCAACTGTACTTGTTTACCAGTGGTATTCCTGCTTTCTAGTACTGCCACTAGTACATCACTAGCCATATATTGTTTTTTAGGAACATTTTGTTCCAAATTTGTAAGTCTCTGGAATCTTCTTATATGAGCAAACAGATGAAGTATTGCTCATTCTTCTGGGTGAGAGTAATTCATTGAAATCCTCATATCTATGTAAACATGTAGGACAAAAAGAGAGAAGCTGAAATTTTAAATTACGTTTTCCCACTGTCATCAGGAAACTTCAGCAGTGAGAAAGTAAGAGAGCACAGAAGTCTTGAAAGTTGCCTAGTGCTGTTTCCAAAGCAAAATCCTGCATTGCTTTGTGAGTGCTCATCCTTCCTCATTCTTCAAAAATCTGGAACAAAGATGAATAGAATTCATCAAAACTTTAGTGGGCTCAGGGAAAGCTGTAACAATTGACATATGCATGCACATGTGATATACAGTTTAATTTATGAATGTATTTATTATATTTGCATCCCACATTCTTTCTGCAAGGAACTGAAGGTGGCTTGCAAAATCCCTCTTCTTCTCTTTATTTCACCTTACAACAACCCTGTAGGATGCTTAGGGTGACAGTCTGTGACTGGCCTAAAGTCACTCAGTGAGCTCCATGCCGAAGCGGGAACTAGAACCAAGATCGCTCAAGTCCCAGCCAACACTCCCACTGCTATGCCATGTTGTCAGTGTACAAAAAGCACCACTAATTAGGATACTTGCTTCCTTTTCCTTTTTATCCTGAAAAAACAGGGTGCATGGGTTTTCCTTATTCAATGCACAATCCATTCAAATGAATTTGTCAGTTTCTTGTAATCTAGATCTTTTAATTAAGTTGTACTTCAAAAATGAACAGAAGGCCTACAAATTTATTGTTTCCTTTCTATTCCTATCCTGTCTTCTCTGAATTTTGATGTGGATTCCAACTTGCCGTTTGGTCATAAGAGCCATATGGACACTGGCTAATGAGAAGAATTTTCTGAATCCTTTGGTGACTTGCATAAAGATTGGATTTGTGCCTTCCTGTCCTACAATTGCATTTATAATGTTCTTTTCATTTGCAGATTCACATGGTGCACTGGTACTCCAAGTATAGTAATTATGCTGATGCTCTGAGAAAGCCTGATGGTGCGGCTATTATTGCCATCCTTTTGCAAGTAAGCTCTAATTTATCTTATCTGATACATATGATCATAATATACAGAAGAAACTATATTACTGGTAGAGAGTAGCCCTGAATTATTATTAGTATTATTCAATTGCATTTATGTTTTGCCTTTCTTCCTCTTGCAAGGAACCCAAAGGAGCTTACAAGGTTTTCCTCCTTTCTCTTTTATCCTCACAATAAGAACTCTGTGAGGTAGGTTAGGCTGAGAGTCAGTGACTTGCTCAAAGTCACCCATTGAGTTCTTTGACTGAGTGGGAACTAGAACCAGATTTCCTGAATCTCAGGCCATCACTCTTAAGGATTGTATTACACTAGCTCTCAGAGTGAAATGAGCTGAAACAATTTCTAATGAAAGTGAAAGAAGAAAATATAGCTGAACATTAAGAAAACAAAAATCATGTCTATAGAATTACACAACTTTAACAGTAAGAAATTGAAACCGTGAAAGGTTTGTTGTATCTTGACTGAATCATTAATCCAAACAGCAACTGCAGCCAAGAAATTAGAACAGTGGGAAGAGTGACAGTGAAAGAACTAGAAAAGATAAGCAGGTGTAAGGATGTTTCACTGAACACCACTATCAGTTGTATTCCTGATCACTACGTATGGTTGTGAAAGCTGTACATTGACAGGAAGAAAATTGATGCATTCAAAATATGATGCTGGAGGAGAGCTTTGTGGATGCCCTGGGATTGACAGAAAGACAAACAAATGGGTCCTAGATCAAATCAAACTAAAACTTCCCTAGAGACAAAAATGATAAAACTGAGGCTGACACATCATGAGAAGGCAAGACTCATTGGAGAAGATAATCATGTTAAGGAAAGTCAAAGGCGGGAGAAGGAAAAGGAGAAGAAGAAGGAGGTGTCTGAATATATGATGCTGCAAATCACCAACATATCCTTCCTTTGATTATTTTTTTACTTAGTTCTTAAGGGCATTCTGTACAAGCCTTGGTCAAAGTAAATATGTACAGCTTACCCTGCTGCCTTCCCACCATTGGACTAGATGGCAAAGGGAAGCCTTCTCCAACTGGGCACCTTCAAGATGTGTTGAACTGGAACCTGCACAATTCCCAGCCTGTGTAGCCTTTGGGTGTAGCAGCCAATTCCAATCCAGTATTCTCCAGATGTTCTGGGCTTCAACTGACAATAGGCTAGGAATTATGGGAGTTAAAGTCCAGCAGAGCACAGTTCAAAGGTTCCAGGTTAGGGAAGGTTGAAAAACAAAAGGTTCCAGGTTAGGGAAGGTTGACAAACAAAAACCACAACCCAAAAGTTGTGTGCATCATCTATGTACCCAGTGGAAGTTTTCTGTGACTTCCTGTTTTAGTTACAGTATGTCTGGGCCCCCAAGAGATGCTTTTAGAATTTCAGCACAGTTAATGACACCCAGACTAGTTAGTGCCTTCATGTTAGCTGGAGCATAAATAAGTAACAGGAATCCAAATAAAATGAACAATCAGGTACATATGGAATTCTAAATGTCATTCTCTTGTTGTCATTTTAAACCCAGCAGGCATTATTTTTGTTTTATTCTGTGCAAGATGTTCTCAAAATGTTGTTAACTGAATGGACAGATGGGTTATTTAAAGACCATTTCTGCAGTATTGTTATTATTTATAATTTGCTGAAAGAAGGTCTGCTTCCACAGCTACTTATCTTCTGTTTTCTGTATGACAGATAGGGAAAACTCCCAAGCCAGAGTTGAAAAGAATTCTTGAAGAAATCGATGCTATTAAGACAAAGGTAATTAGGAAAATTTTCTGATAGCTTGACAAGTGACATGTTTTCCAGCATGCTCCCCTTTTATTAAAAGGAACCGATAGGCTTCGATCATGCATAGAATTTATGACAGCCAGCAAGACAGACAAGAACTAGGATTTCAGAGCCAGCAACAGATGGGCTGGAAAGATGAACATCAAGAACTTGTATCAGAGCTCTACAAAAGAACACTCAACGGTTCATTGCTATCTGGAGGCTGTGGGAGTCTCACTGAGAGTGAAACTCCTGGGGGTTTACTCGGCTACTTCTATTGCAGATGTGGTAGCCTGTATAGAGGGGTCAGTTTTGGTATGCTTAGTCTGGCTCAAGGAATAAGCAACTTAAACAATATTTTCCTTCCTTTGAGATCTAAACCTTTGAAGCAACTGCAAATACCCAAGTGCTTTGATGGCGAACCTTTGAGAGACCAAGTGCCCAAAATGCAACCCAAAACCCACTTATGTACCTCAAACTGCCAACACTACAATAAAACCTGAAAACTGAGGTTTTAGTTTAGAAAAAACACCTCACAGACAGTCCGAAAAAAAAAAAAATATATCCTTGGCAGTGCACTTACCAGCCATGCGAAAGGTCGAACAAGTTGCAGCTAATGAGTCGCAGCTCGTGACGACAACATCTACTGGTGCTATTCCTTTCCAAGCATGGGCATGGCCTCTATGTGCGCAGTTATCCAATGCACAGGTGCTGGGTGATGCTGGGGCAACGTGGCTCGCATGCCGACAGAGAGGGATCTGCATGCCCGTTCTGCAACGTATGCCATCGGTTGGCCAGGACTAGCCTAACCCTATCCTGGTGCACTCCCCTAACCCTAACATAGGGGTAAAATACCATTGAAAGGGGCGATTTTGGAAAAGCCTTCCTTGAGTAGCTTTTTATGAACTGCTCAGCATTTCTGCCCATTATAAACACGTTCCAGCCATCAAAATCATGCCAGGACACCTTGTTCTTCTAACCCTAACCCTACCCTGGTGCACACCCCTAACCCTAATATAGAGGTAAAGTTCCCTTGAAAATAGGGCGCTTTTGAAAAAGTCTTCCATGTGTAGCCTTTTCCTGCACTGCTCATCATTTTGGTCCAGTCTAAACACATCCCAACCATCAAAATCATGCCAGGACACCTCATTTTTCAAACCCTAACCCTACCCTGGTGCACACCCCTAACCCTAAGAAAGGGCGAAGTCTCCCTTGAAAATACGGCAATTTTGAAAAACCCTTTCTCGAGTAGGTTTATCTGCTCCACTCATCATTTCTGCCCATTCTAAACACATTTCAGCCATCAAAATCATGGCAGGACACCTCATTTTTCTAACCCTAATCCTACCCTGGTACATAGCCCCCATCCCTAATTTAGGTGTAAAGTTCCATTGAAAATAGTATGATTTTGAAAAAGCCTGCCTAGAGTAGCTTTTTCTGCACTGTGCAAAATTTTTGCCCATTCTAAACACATTCCAGCAATTAAAATCGTGCCAGGACACCTCATTTTTCCAACCCTCATCCTACCCTGGTGCACTCCCTTAACCCTAATATAGGGCGAAGTTTCCCTTGAAAATACGGCAATTTTGAAAAACCCTTCCTTGAGTAGCTTTTTCTGCTCTGCTCATCCTTTTGGCCTATTCTAAACACATTCCAACCATCAAAGTCATGCCAGGACACCTCATTTTTCTAATTCCATCCCAACCCTGGTGCACACCCCTCATCCTAACATAGGGCTAAAATACCATTGAAAAGAGGGTGATATTGAAAAAGTCTTTCTTGTGTATTTTTTCTGTACTGCTCATCCTTTCTGCCCATTCTAAACATGTACCAACCATCAAAATAATGCAAGGACACCTTGTTTTTCTAACCCTAACCCTACCCTGTTGCCCACCCCTAACCCTAATTTATGGATAAAGTTCCATTGAAAATAGGGCGATTTTGAAGAAGCCTTCCTTGAGTAGCTTTTTCTGCACTGCTCAGCATTTCTGCCCATTCTAAACACATTCCAACCATCAACATCATATCAGGACACCACATTTATATAACCCATACTCTACCCTGATGCACTCTTCCAACCCTAATAGAGTGGTAAGATACCATTGAAAGGGGTGATTTTTAAAAAGCCTTCCTTGAGTAGCTTTTTCTGCAGTGCTCATCATTTCTGCCCATTCTAAGCACATCCCAACCATCAAAACCATGCCTGGACACCTTGTTTTCCGCACCCTAACCCTGTGACGGTGAACCTTTTAGAGACCTAGAGCCCAAACTGCGACCAAAAACCCACTTATTTATTGCAAAGTGTCACTACTGCAATAAAAGTGGAATACTGTGGTTTTAGTTTAGAAAAAACACTTCACAGCCAGTCCAAGCAAATATTTATATATATCCTCTGCAGTGCACTGACCGGGCGAGTGAAAGCTTGGACAAGTCTTGGCTAATGAGACGCTGTTTGTGACGTCAACTCCTGGCACCATGACTCATTTCGGAGCATGTGCATGGCCCCTGTGTGCGCTGTTATCCGCTGCTGGGCTGCTGGGGTGATGCTGGGCCACTTGGCTCACATGCTGACAGAGAGGGCTCTACGTGTCCACTGTGGCCCGCGTGCCATAGATTCCCCACCACTGCCCTAGTGGCTATCAGAAGTGATGGGAGTATGTTCTGTGCCCACCCCCAGCCTCTAAATCTTCTCTTTCTTTAGCTGGATTTTATAGTAGCATATCTTTTTCTTTTTATTTCTTTCTTCAAGGGAAAAGAAGTTCCTTTTCCAAACTTTGATCCATCCATTCTTTTCCCTCAAAATCGGAGTTATTTTACCTACCAAGGCTCATTCACTACACCTCCCTGTGAAGAGTGTGTTACCTGGATTCTTCTGAAAGAGCCTATAACTGTCAGTTCGGACCAGGTAAACTTTAGCAATTAGTTAACTTTGTTTCCTCATATATGCATTTTGTTTGAACTATACATATAGATACAGTTTGCTGAAGGCCTTTTCCATTAATCAGAAGCTATATTCATGATACACATAGGGTGATTTAGGAGATGGCTTGAATTGCAGACCTTTTGCAAACAGAGCTCGGTAAGCAGATCTTGGAGTCAATCCAATATAAGGTGAGGACTAATTCTAGAATAAGTGATTTGCAAGCAGCTTCTCCAACAAAGGGAGCAAACTTGTTTTGTCGAAACATTGGGACTATCTTTGATCTCACTTGCCTGAATTTCACTGGATAGAAGAACATTCCCTGAAAAAACAATCATGGAACTATATCTTACACAAATCTCCACCCTCATTTTCCTTGTTTTTTATGTCTTGCTCAAAAATTTCCTTAGAATGCAAATGCAGATTAAATCTGGTCAGGCTTCCCTGTTTCAACAGCATAAATCTGGAAGCATCCCACCCCAGTCTTAGTCCATTGACATGGAACTACATTCTAATGGCTTTTATGGAATCCACTTTGCAGTGCAGGATGTTTGAAAAGCTTAAGCAACCTTTCACAAAGTTAGGCAAAACACACCTGCTCCCTTCTTTGCAGTACACACAGAACCATGTCTTACCTACATGCTTTATTAGCACTGAGCTGAAGCTGTTGATTTTAGCCAATTGGAAACATGAATGTTAAGGATCAGCCTTCACATTTCCAATCTCTTCATTATCCAATGTATTTATAATGGTGAGAGTAATTTAGAACACAGCCACTAAGGGAAGATTCACTGATTAGTTGCAAGAATCAGAAATCTGCTCCCATGTTCTCTTTGTGCTTCCAAACTCTAGCAATCAGTAGTTTTGGACAAGAACATGAAAACATTCAGAACAGGAGTTTGAGAAATTCATCAGAAAAGAGCCCTATTTGTAATCAAACCAAGCCTAAGTAAGGCTCCTATCTCCAAATATACTTTGAGGTATTTCATTGCAGTCAGTAGAATGTTTTCTACTGAATATCTGAACTGCATCTTGATAAAGCAGTTGTGCATGTCTCATCTAAAAATAAGATCAAGGGTCAGGGATGCTGAACATCTTTTGGCCCAAGAGCTGAAATGAGTTTCAGAGGAGCACCCAGGGGCCATATGCCAAAGGTGGGCAAAGCCAAAGGCAAAAGCGGTAGATGCAAAATGCCCCAAATATCAGCCTCCTGAAGTCTTAGCAGAGGTATTTCAATCTTTTGGAATGCGGAAAAATCTGCACAAAAACAGAGAAATCAGCAGTTTGTGAAAAGGGAGTGTGGCCTTGATCTGGGAATTACTATGACAGGATTTGGGGCAGAGTTTGGCACCTAAGGAAATTGCTATTTCTCAGCCCAGTCCTGTTTTTGTTGGACTGGTCCTAGCAAGAATGTATTTATTTAGCCACTTACACATTTATTTTGCCATTTATTCTCTCCACAGATGTTAAAATTGCGTAGCCTTTCTAGCAATTCTGCAGAGGACCCCCACTGCCCTTTGGTGGACAACTGGCGGCCTCTTCAGCCTCTCAATAACAGGATGATCCGATCTCCATGCCAATAGAATTTGATGTCAATCATCTTCATCTTGGAAGACCCAAGACCACATTCGAGTCACATACCAACTGATGTTCTTCCTCTGGATCTGTGCAGTTGAACCATAAATACTAAGCAATTAAATGGATCAAGGTTACTAAATGAATCTAACCTGTCGAGGACAAAAACATATACGTAACTTTGCAAAAATTCTAACCTCTGTATTAAAATGTTAGATCTCTTTATGTAATCTTTGTTAATGCAAGTATTTTCAAAAATAATTATATGATGCAAGATGATGACAACAACAACATGTAGGTCTTCAAGGATCTCTCTCTCTCTCTCTCATTCTTCTGCCTCTCCCTACTTGCCCTCCCTTCCTCTCTCTCTCTCTCTCTCTCTCACACACACACACACACACAGAGCCAAACTGATTTCTGCTATCTTTTATACCCCATTAATGAGGGATGCTAGAGAAGAAGCAGAATCTATTTTTCTTTAATGCATATGTACAAGCATGTCTTCTGCAGGAATCACAAAGATGTGCCATTTATGGTTAAAGCTATGTGAGCTTAGGCAGAAAAAAGGCTTACAACTTCCAGCACATCCTAACCAGTTGTAGACCTTTCCTGGGAGTAACCTCAGTGAACTCAGTGGGACTTAGTTTTGAGCAATATGTACAGGATTATGCTAGTAAAGATCCAAAATGAAAATTAAAAGAAAATCAGCTCAGAAAACTAACACTCCATCTGTCCTCCTCTCCTGAAAACTGAAATTAAGACCTTGAACAGGGTATAGAATAAGATAAATTGTATATCTTGATTTCTTGCTGTGCTTTTTGAAATTACTATGAATCCCAAAGAGCCAGGATTTTGTTTAATATATTTTGTGGTCCTGGTACCAGCAGGCAACCCCATCTGAGGACACCAGTGCCCACTGACACTGGCTGCCACCTGCAGTCTCCTCAGTCCCCAAGCGCTCTTCTGTCTTGGAAATGGCTGGCGAAGGATCCCACTGGGTCCTTGGTGTTGTGCTTCTTTGCAACCCACCTTTGTCCTTAGGGGAGCACAGCTAGGTTGCAGGATGTACTCAGGGCAACCTGGGTGTTGCCACAGCATAGCATGACCCCAAAACATGGTGCATCTTTTGCGAGCCTTCCCACTTTCACCCACCAAAGTGCACAATCTGGGTTTTGGTGAAAACAGAGTAAAATGTATTAAGGATTTAGGAAAAGTACAGCATGGGGAAAAGATTGGTTGGCGTCTGAGCACACGGCAACAGGCCATTTAAAGAGGCATATCAGATTCAGTGCACAGTGCATAAGGAATAAGTAAGGCAAAGCAGCAACTTGTTGGCAATAAACAAACAAACATGAAAATACACTCTAGCTGGCACAGCCCTGCACTAAATTGCCTACCTGAGTCTTTAAAAACCCACTCTGTCCATAGAAAATTTGTCCTGGCGCCTGTATTAGGTCTTCCTCCCTTTGGTTGAGGAAAAAATCCACCTGGGTGCCTCTAGCAGAGGTATTTTGGGCAATCTCTTCTGGGCCTGCCTCAAGATCAATACTTGCAGGAAAATTTGTTCCTAGCACCCATGTCTGACTGAGTGGGCTACCCCAGACTGACCATAACTTATGTAGGCAATCTTGGTCAATCCAAAGCAGAATGTTTTTCTGGGGACAGAAGAAAATGTTATGACTTGCTTAAGTTTCAGTTTTATTGTACTATTTCATGTCAAAAGGTGATGGTCTGATCTGATTTTATTATTTTGCAATTCATTTTATTTGAGTGAGGTTAATGCACTTTTTATTCAGGGCTGACAAAAGATATGGAATAAACTTTCATAACATAAAGAATGTTTGATGGGTAACCCATTTCAGTTTTGAAACCCTCAGATGAATTTTGAAATAGGAAGAAATTTAATCAACTAAAAAAATGATATTAACATTGCTGGGAAAAAGGCATTTCTAGCACCTGTTTTAGTACACCGCTTTTAGACTATTATTTCCAATTTTAAGCATGGTGTTAGTGGGTTTCTTCAAATTTTCCCAACAATAACATTTCAAGAATGGGGCCCATTAGGCTTTTAAACTGTAACCCTTTACATTTGTAAACATTTAAAATGCCTTTTAATTTCAAAATTGGAAAACAATTTCAAAAATGTTAATGAAAGTTATAGTTGGCTTTTAAAACCATTTTAAGGCTACAATCCTATGCACACTTACTTGGGAGTAAGCCCCATTAAACTCAGTGGGACATATCCATATACATGCATAGGATTGCACAGCAGATTGTTAAAACCGGTTATTTGTCGGGAGTTATTTTTCTTCTTGCTTTGTGCTTTGCTTTGTAGTAAGAACAAATAGAATTGTATGGTGGTAACATACCTGCTTTTGTAAAGGATAAAAATAAATTTATTTATGTCTGAAGCAACATTTTCAGAACATTTTCAGATTCACAGTAACGTCTAACGATCCTAAAAATGAAAACTCTGTACATGAATAATGGAGACACGCAAATCTGGAAGGAGGCAGGTCGTCAGAGCTCATGTAAGGGAGTTCCACTAATCGCCTTCCTTCCAGAACTAATGTTTCCACTTGTATCTGGGATTCCCACTAGGAATCACTTGATCCTACTTGCATACATAGTGGATCTAATTTGCACAGTGGAATTGGTGGAATCTACCTCTTTCAGAAGAGAAAAAGAGGGGTAGAAGGGAATCTGTGGGAGCATAACTGTGCTGTAGGATTCTATCCATATTTTCTTTATCAAGGATACTGGAGCTTTGTTAAAGCTAGGCCTGCGAAGTGAATAGAATTTATAACACTTTCTTAGTCTGTGGGTCCGAAGGATGAAGTAACTGTTTTAGCTTCTGTCCCCCAATTTAGAGGTAGACAGCCTGGTACCTTCCAGATGTTTTAGACTGCAACTCTCAGAATCCCTGATCATAGGCCATGCTTACTCAGGTTGGTTGGCATTACAGTCCAAAGTAATGGAAGCTACTGAGTTGCCTACCCCTTCTCCTCAGTAATTTCTGCTACCAGCCCTCTTCAGACAGAGGTGGGGTGACAAGCAATTTCCTCTTTCTCAAGAGTGCTCTGCCTTGTAGCAAAGCAGAGCAGCATAGGCAGAGGTCTGCGTGCTCCAGCTTATATGCATAGAGATGGAATAAAACAAGAGTAATGGGTAGTGAGACTGAACTACACTGGGCAACTAGTGGAGAAGAAACCAGAATGTTCCCTTTGAGGTCCCTTCAAATTACATTCAACCCACAGCAGGTTTTTATGATTTGTTGTTTCCTGGCTAGCTGCCAGTAAAACAAAGGATGAATATATTTTCTCCTCCTCAGACATATCTTTGGTTAACCTGTACATCTTTTTCTGTTGATTTCTGGCTCTGAACCTGCCAGAAACTCCAGAACTCCTTGTCTGGACCCGCAAAAACCAGTCTCAGGGTTTTACCTACTCTGGGTTTGATCCTAGGCCCTCTCCAGAAACCAACATTTTCTTGTCAAGTGTTGGCAACACTCATTGTAATGTGAGAGAAAGATCACCACAGCTTAACCACAGAACCTCAACCATTATCCCTGGGTCTGTCGAAAGGATACCTTTCTCTCACAGAACAGAGAATGTGGCCGCTTCCCCAATTTGCTGCCCCCTAGATGGGTTGGACTGCAACTCCCATGCTGGCTGGGAATGTTGGGAATTGTATGGCAGCCGATTTGTACAGCTGCAGGAGGTTGGGGAAGTTTGTGCTTGTGTTGCACAGAGACTGAGAAGGCTAGTTGACCAGTGAGGCTCAGTGGCTAATCTTGGGGCAGGTCATTATGAAGGATGATCAAAGATGGGTACAGAAGCACTTACATTGCACCAACTATCTTGGAGGAAGGACAGCCTTACAGTGCAACTAATGAATAGCTAGTTTTGAGTTTCATATCCTATTGGCTAGAGGAAAGTTTGAACTACAGTGGGTTTTGTGGTATCCTCCAATCTCTTTGAAAAAGGCAGGTTTATGGCTGGAGCATTAGACCATATACATAGCCTTTTAGACAAAGTGCCAGACAGACTAAACCGTCTTTGACCCTTCTGCACTAGAAAATGACTAGAAGGCAAACATATTTGTCTCAACATTATGACACAATTGGAAAGATAACTTAAAATACATTCTATTAAAACCTGAACAATTTTTTAAAGAAAATAATCACTGATCATATATACCAATGGATACAGGCTTGTGAGCGGGCAGCTACAAATCAGGACAGAGCTGCTGCACTTTTGTTAGTTGCATGGGAATTTCAGCAGGTATAGGCCCTGTCTCTTTCTTTGCCTCAGTGGCAAGAAAGGGAAAGGGGCTTATCCCCAGCATGCTGCAGACTGGGGATAAGGTCTTTCCCTTCTTTCAGTGCTGGGACATGTGAAAGGGCTGACGCTAGGACAAGAAGCTTGGTGGGCAGTGGGGGGATTCCCACAGGCCATATTCAGGCTGCAGACTAGAGGTTCTCCATCCTGTAATAATGCATAAACTTGGCCTTACTAGAATGGAGAAATAATAAATCAGATCAATCTATTATCACGTTTTTACTCTATAAAGGATTCCCAAATGCATTACATGCTGACCACAATTTTTCATTAATGTTTGGAGACAAGCCAACTTGCATTTTTAGAAATACATCCATATTTATATGCAATGCAAATCTGACATCTTGCTGGCACCTGTTCATCTTGGATTGAATCACAAAATACCCCCAGTGTACAACTTCAATTATACAGAGTGTCAATACTATTGCAGTGCTGCTACGCTGCACAGAAAGGGAAAAATGCAGCATCTCCACTTGTGACCTTTCCATATTTTAAATCCTGGGAATCATCCTGCCTACATGAACGGAGCGCATTCTGGATTGGATTGGTGAATTCAGCATATCGGATGAACCACACACACTGCAATCACATTTGTTGAATGCCACAATTGTTTACAACTGAAGAGCAGGGATAATCATGTCTGTTAACATAAATGCGCTGTCTGTAAAAGCTTCCACAAAGTAAAAATGGAGTGGTATGAGAGAGGTACTGTGAATTCATAACTAGAACTCAGGTCATCAGTGATGATCAGATAACAACCACTTGATGGCCCGCGCTATTTCATACTGTCATGGAAAGGAGGAAAAAATAAAATTAAAGATCTCATTTTCAGATACAACAGATAGTTTCTTCAAACAGTAGATGAAGTAAATGAATGCAAATATATTACAGGCTGTATCCTTTCTTAATCCAATTAGCTCTTTAAAAAAAAGAAAAATCTTAAAGCAGCCTTCCCCAAACTGGTGCACTCCAGACATTTTGACCACATCTTTCAGCATTCCTGACCACTTGCTTTGCTGGATGGAGTTGCTGGGAGATGAAGTCCAAAATATGTACAGGGTACCAGGTTGAGGAAGGTTTTAAAGGGAGCATTCTTGACACTTGTGTTCTTGGT